TTAATAGATGGTAAAGGCAGTGGAAGCGCCCCTCTGAGAAAAAATCCCGAACCAGCACAAGAACACTTAAATCTACTACAAAATGAACTGTCCAGACCTGTGGAAGGATAGCGTCTGTGACTGGGATGAATGAGACACACTGTAAAATTTAGACACTTATATTCCTCCAACACTACAAACACAATCAAATAATGGTACACCAATATGCGCACCTCTTAACTTAAACTTTAACCACTACTCTGGGGAATAAAAGTTATACATGACATAGAAATTATTAGAAACACAGGCAACAATAAATTTAAAGTATCAAGAAATGTTAATTGCACATATGAACAGGCCTTAAGGGCTTTCACAAATAATATCAGTCACTTAGGAAATGGTACTAAAAAATAAGAAATTAAATACTCCACAATGAATAGGCCTTAAGGGTCTTCAAAAAAAATAATATCAGTCACTGAGGAATGGTAATAAAAGATAAGAAATTAAATACTCTACAATGAATAGGCCTAAGGGCTTTCCACAAAATAATATCACTCAACAAAATTATAGCACCCCAACAGGTGTACACTTCTAACCTAACCTAACCACTGCTCTGGGGAACAAGGTTATACCTGAGATCAGAATTATGAAGAATTAGAGGCTAAAAGAATCAAATCACAGTATCACTCTGGTTCCACTTAATGGCACAAACATTCAAAAAACTACTATCAAAATTATTAAGAAATATTAAACTACACACGTCAAGATAATATCAGTCTGAGGAAGTGATAAGGAAGATAAATGTTCCTCTAGGTATCTCTGAGTCCTAGACTCACGGTCCAGTGTGTGACCATTAATACAGATAGCCTCAGTACCCCAGTGCGTCCATGGGAAGAGAGGAGCCAATCAGACCTTGCGCAGTTGAGAGAACCTTAGCTTCCTAGCAGGGTTCACTAGCTGCTCGGGACATGTGGGGTTGTGCACCGAGTGGTAAGAACTGATCACCCACTGCTGATGCTGGTCCCAGAAGTCGTGTTGGTTGTCGGGAGCACTGTTCACTCCAGAGATCCTTGCTACCCCGCTAAACAGTGACAGGCCTACACGATCGGTCCAATGGCGACAATCGCCACCCTCAATCATCAACGGCAGTCAATCTCTCGCAGTCAACCCGGTCAACTCCAGTCAAGTGGGTTCTGACGGAAACCCTGAAATGAACCTCACTGTTAGCTCTAGTTTACTTTATCACTGCCCTATCTAACCCCTGTCTGAGATCGAATGAGACTTACTTGTTATATCGTGCGCGTGACTAGGCCACGTGACTATTTCTGATGGACGCGCGAACGTCTTTGTCTCGTGTGTAAGCTTCTGGGACTGCCCTAGCCAGCGTCCGTTCCCCAGGCGCTAGCTTGGGCTACGTGATATATTTACCGCCTAACTAATAACCCTTGGGACACCCGTAACATTATTCAGACTGCTAAACGATCATATAATTCAAATTCAATAATAGTCTTAACCCCATGAATCGCATCATTATTAATTCGGTAAATCACATTCAATATCATATAGCCCCTAGTTCCGCGCTCTCGCTACGAGCAAAGCAGCTCCTCCCCAGATAACCTTGAACGCTCAGTATCACTCATGGCGGGCATTTGAAATTACTCTGAAATTTCGAATACATATATATATATATATATATGTGTGTGTGTGTGTGTGTGTTCACACGAGAATCTCGGAGACATCTTCAGAGGCTAAGGTTCTCCGTTGTTTCCTTGTGTTATCTTATATATATATATATATATATATATATATATATATATATATATATATATATATATATATATATATATATATATATATATATTCCTAATCAATGAATTCCGGAATGCACATTCTTAAAGCACATTGGTGGTAATACTGACTGTTTGACTCTTTTATGGTGGGAATTATAATAATGAATATATGAACACACGTTGGTAGGTTTACCATAACTACTAAATTTATAGGTGTTACCTACTCTGTGGATCAGACAGTCTAGGAATGGTAATTTACAGTCACTCTCTAATTCCACAGTGAATTGATCGTGGGGCTAAGTTGTTAAGGCTCTTAGGACCTCATTACATGGCCATAGACATATTACATCATCTACACACCTAAACCAAGCTGCTTAAGGTGGTAAAATATTACTTAGTAATTTATTGTAAAAAAATTCTTTATATAAGTTACTCAACACTGGTGAAAGCTGATTACCCATCGCCATACTAAATTTTTTAGCATAATATTCTCCATTATATTCGAATTTATAATCTTTAATGCACAGTTTGATAATTCAATGAAAATATTGTTTGAGAAAGGCAAGGAATATTCTCCAGGAAATCTGTGAGGAACTCCAGTAAATTATCAACTGGGACCTTTGTAAAGAGAGATGTTACATCAAAACTGACCAGTTTAAAATATTAATTAGTGTAGAGGTTCTTACGTTCATCAACTAAATCCACATTATTCTTAAGAAGGGTTGAGTCACTACTTAATTCACATCTTCAGGGGTGAGTACGTAATTAATGACAAGGCTAATATGTACAGTAAAGGAGAGTAAGACCAAGCCCCTAGGGACAGCAGGTGTGTGTGTGTCTTATAAAATTTGGAATTTGATTAAATACAAATAACTTTGGTGTACTATATTTTTGTTTTAAAGTTCTGTCCGGCCATAGAATGATCATGTATATCATTTAAATGTATTCAATGATATATTTCATAGAAAACCTTACTTCAACTACTTTAAGTATAAATTACTTATCTTTTTCAGGTAAACAGCATCTTCGTTTACGCTATATATTGGTATAAACTAAATATTCCATAATAATCTATAAATCCTCCACTAGTTTCATGGTAGAAGCTGATAGGAACCACCAATCAGAAGTCAGGTCTACCATGACGTCAGAAATGCCGAGCACGAGCTGCTTATAAATAAGAAACTGAGGCGAGTGGCGGGGACTTGTGGGTGGAGCTGCAGAGACGTGAGGCGAACACGGTGTGAGTATTGCGCTCTGGTCCGCTTCTTAAGACGTACTTGGTAGATAAGTAGAGAGTATAACGTGTGTTGGCAAAGGATTATAAAGAAAAAGTTTTATGAGATGGCTGATGTAACAACATATCAGAAACAACAGAGGGAGAGTTTTATGCTGGCAGTTATTTGTACGTAAAATGTTTTGAAAACGTAAATCCGACACTGCGACTATAAATAGGTAGAATTATAATTCAACGACAAACATTGTAACAGTATCACATTATCGTAATCTAGTTCATGCTACTGGTCATTCTGGAAGTATTAAGTGCCCTGAGAGATGTAAAACTGATCAATCATGATGTCTATTTTCTTAAAGAAAGTTTATTCACAGTCACTAAAGTTACATTTTCGGAGGAAAAAATACATAACAAGATCATAATTATGTTATGTGGCTAATAAGAAATATTAAATTTTTTTATGGTAAATAAACTCCGGTTAAAAGATGTTTCTCTGTGCTCCTTAATCTGTGGGTAATAAACGTTTATATGATGTATTTTTTTTTACGGGGAATAACCCACCCGGGCACAGGTCATCGACCCACAACGGGGCCTGAGGGGCGAAAAAATAAGAGTAAAAAAAATAAAAATAGAAAAGAAAAGGACAATATTAATCTACTCCACGAAGATTGGCGGAACCAGCTTTTTAAAGTGAGACAGATTGTATGAGTGTAGAAACACAGAAGAAGGCAGAGCAGTCCACAGTTTGGCTGTGTGAGGAAAGAAGGATGTACTATAACGGGTTATTCTAGTGTGACCGACATCCACAGAGAAAGGTGGGCACCGCGGGCAAGACGTGTGTTACGAGCCCACGGCCTGGCCGGCGGTACACAGGATGCCAAATCCACCGAACATTGCCCGTTAAAGTACCTGTAAAAGAGAGAGAGTGAAGCAACATTGCACAGAATACTGCATATCCTGTGCAATAAACGATTCTTGTTTTATATTAATTCTGGATAGTAATAGTTTTTGCACTATATATTTCTCTGAATGATATAACATATTTATGCTACTTAATGTCTGACTAATAAAAGTTTTATACAATATATATTCTGTACACGTTACATATATCTCTGATAAAAGACATTTGGTTCTAATAAATAAAAACCTGCTTAGTTTGTACGAATTTAAAGACTTTTATACAGTATATCAAATATATATAGGTAACCACGCATCATCACGCCTCCGTCCACTTCAACTCTTCCAGTACAGGTGCTCATTAAAAAGACGCCATTTTATATTTTATCACAAAATACAGAACATTTTTCATGTTAAAAAACATCGTTTTAATATTAAATGGTGAGGTTTGTGCTAGATGTTCATGTAAAAAATCTGAAATTACCACCAATTAGTTAGTAGTGTGTAAGGTACTATTTTTAATGTTGTTGGATTAGTTTAGAATTAACCTTATCAAGTGCTTATAAGCAGAAATATAAGCTTGATGCTGAACAAAATTTAAGTCTATTATATGATTATCTTTTAGCAATATTCAGTTTCCCTTACTTTTCGTGTAGTTAAAAATACGACAATCGGGAGACATTTAAAATGAAACCATCATTATTATTTTTCTGATATGAAGAGTGAAATAAATTATTAGCGAAAAATTAAAATTCCAGCCTGAAGATGTAGCTGTTCTTTACCATTGGTGTTAAACAGTTGGTGGTTCAAAATATCGTGAGAAAACAAGGAATGGCTCAGTTTTTTTTAATCTTACTCTGATATTCTTTTAATGCACTTAATTATAAACATGTGTGGGTTATTTTATGGAAACAGTCGATATAATACACGGAAAAGCGAAATGAACGAAATAATACGAAAATTAATTGCAAGAATCATACGCTCATAACCGTCGGCAGAGTCGTTTTGGGTTTATTTACATTTCATGAGCATAACACTAGGCTGTATGTGTTATAGCTATGTTTAGCTAGTACTAATTTAAATAATAGCCATAATAACCCTTGTGTACAGTAGCTAAAAAAAAGTATCTGTGCATACTCTGTGTGAAACAAATTGAGACCACGGACAATAGGTATTAGGATACGTGTGTTGTCTCCTTATACTATATGACAGTAATCACTTAACCGTTTATTATATTCCTATATGCCAACTCACCCTCTGTGTTGGATACTGAATGACGGTGGGTGAAGACACGCATAACAACCCTCTCGAGACGTCACGATTTGTACGTATAATTCCGGATATCATCGGACCCACCCTGTGAGATACTTTTTTGCTACTGTACCTCTGTACTGAATAAAATCGTCTGCTTTTAGTCAAATAAAATATTAAAACTGGGATCCCTGTAGTGAAAGGATTAAGAGTGTAGTCATTTCAATTTCAATTTCAATTGTTTATTCCTTGATAGAGGAAGCGGGATCCTAGTGCTGTCACTAGGTACCCCTGTACAATAACACCAGAAGCATCTGGCAAGTGTGACAAGTATATACAGCATAAATATTATAAAGGGGCTTACTAAAGCCTAAGGAAGGAAGGATATTCATTTAACACATAATCAATATTATTTACAAAATATCTGGCCAGTATGGGGAGGATCATCGTGTCTCCGTCAGGGGGTCGTGGAGTGGTGGTCCAGCAGGCGTCACGGAAGCGTTGTGTGTGGGGACATCTTAGGAGGTAGTGAATAAGGGTGCGGCTGTCGGGTCTTCTGCATAACACACAAGAGCGTTGCTCAGGGGATGCGGGGATACCAATCTCCCAAGCAAAGTCATACCCACTGATGATACGGGCAGCAATCACGTCCCTTTTCCGCGACCCTTTCCCATAGACATACGAGAGGTCAGGAAGTTTACGGAGGACCGAGTGTAGTCATGATATGCTTGCATTAACATCACGATTAACCGAATAAGATACTTCTATTTTGGTTACTTTGGCTGGTTGGTTTAAAAATCTAATTAAAGACAATGCAACATAACTCTTGCCCTACTTTGTATTAAGAATTATTACTAGATAACCACCACATAATAAAACATGACTGCCGCGGACTTCGAACATCATAAGCCCATGATATTTGCACTTTGTTTTCCTAATATTTTGGCCATACTACTAATAATATTGATGAGTGTATTTATATATTGTGCTAAATAAGCTCTCTTTCTCTTTCTGTATAAGGATCAGACATCTGCATCCACTCAAAAACATACACACAAATACATGAGCGTCTTGAACAAAATTTTCTAAGCAAAACCAATGTAAGGTGGCCTGTGTGAACAATACCGCGACCCCTGGTGTCTTCACTCCTTGGTCAAAATAAACTTACACTCACTGTTGTTTCAGGTGCAGTAAACCAAAACACCATATATAGTACTATAAATAACAGGTTCTGCATTCTAACTCACAAAAAAGTCAACTTGTAATCTCTTTGCTTAGTAAAAATGTTATATTAGCCTAAAAAGTCTCTGATACGATGGTTGTTGACTGACAAAAATTATTAAAGTTAATTTAATATTTATATTCTAAACGCTTCATTAATATCGTGAAAAGGGGCTTTTGAAATCTTCTGATACATATTTTTTTAAATGTTTGGATTCAGATGTTTTTCCTACCATTATTCTTTGTGTAGTAAGCGTCTGGAGCGTTTCTTTTTTAAATACGATTCAAGAATTATAATATTGTGGACGACGGGAAGAGAGTGCTATATGCCAGACTGTAGTTGGTTCTAAAATACCTTAGCTTTTCTTTGTGCTTCACTATGTATCCCTTTCATGGTAGAGCCGAGACAGACATCTTAAATTAAAGGACTGCTCTTACTCAGGTCCTGGAACTTGGGTCCATTAAAGACACTAATAGCATAGGTACTGGTCACACAAGACTTACTGGAGTTAATCATCTACTTGTCAAACATTTATCATTTTGCGTTAACAATATCACTCTATAGGCAAAAGTGATTCCCTGTCAAAGCTTTTCTCAGCAACACCCTACTATTCGAACACCTCACACCCTCCTGCTTCATGAAAAACACACTTTTACAATGTTGATATAGGGAACATATTAGCATATAAACTTGGAACGGCACCTTGTTTATTTACTTATGGAAATGTTCATAAGACATTTCATTTTACTCTACAGGCAGATTTCCATTATTACATATGAACGACAATGTAATTATAATAAATAACTACTGAGCTCTTAGTATTGTGCGGTTACATTTCAACTACTATATGCTGACATACATACAATACTCTTGTTTGACAGAATCTTGCCAATGGATAAGCGAATTGCAAACAATCCATTCGTGTTAGCTGAGCGAGCAAGGATCGTGACGATGTGGCTGAGTGGCATGTCAGCACGCAACATATCAGTTGAGAGTGGAGCCAGTCTGTCTACAGTGTACAGGTGGATTCGTAGGTGGAGGAAATATGGCTCGGTGGAAACACATCCTTACAGTAAGAGATCTTGCCAGAACTTTAGGCAAAAGGATATGGGGGTACGCTTGCCTTCAGACTACCACCCGTCAATTACAGCAGTCAATGCGACCCGTACCCTGGATCACTGCTTTACTTCGAAGGCTCCAGGTCATTACCTTCCACGAAATATGTTTCATGAGTTCTTTCCTCTCAGTTACGAGAGCTTAGCCAAATATTACGGACGAGTAAGGTGACTTTATAGCACTAAAGAAACATAATGAGCATTACGAAGCAACAATTAACTATTAATTAAAAACATATATAACTCTTACTCTTGAAAGTTACCTCTAGATCACTCAGTAAATAAGGCGATCCAGAGAGTAATTCACTTGATTAACATTTGATATTTGACATCATGTATTATGATACACACAGTATACTACACGCACACACACGTGATCCAGGTATATGCTCATAACCACAAGGAAAGAAGAAAACACGAAGTTCCCAAGCGCTGAAGATGTGAATTACACCAAAGCGCTTGGGAACTTCGTCTTTTCTTCTTTCCTTATGGTTATCAGCATATATATATATATATATATATAT